GATCACGTGGCAGAATGTTGCAAGACCAACCATCTATGCCTTTTCCACGACATGAAAAGGCTACTGAATGTGGACCTCACCCGATAGATATACAGGAATCAAATCAACTACATCTGTGGAAAAGAACAATGAAGGAAGTCAGCGTTCTCAATCAGACAGAACAAGGCCAGGGGCCAACTGAGTAACAGACTATCAATTGTTCAGATGTAAATTCAACTTGACGTTAAAGAAAATTAAAACAAGTTCATAAGAGCCAAAGTATGACCTTAAGTATCTGTTGTTGTGGTGGTGGTGGTGGTGGTTAAGTGCTGTCAAGTTAATTCTGACTCACTGCAACCTGTATAGGATTTTCAAGGAGCAGCTGGTGAGTTTGAACTGCTGACTTTGTGGTGTGGTTTGCAGTTCAGTGCTGATCCTACAGCGCCATGCCAGAAGTCCAACATTAAGTATATCCCACCTAAATTTAAAGACCATCTCAAGAATAATGTGATGTAATGAACACGAATGATCAAAGACCAGAAGAGTTGTGAAATGACATCAAGGACATCATACATAAAGCAAAAGATCATTAAAAAGATGTAAAAGAAAGAAAATGCCCAAATGACATCAGAGGAGACTCTGAAACTTGCACTTGGACATCCAGTACCTAAGCAAACAGAAGAAATTATGAGTTAAAAGAGCTGAACAAAAGGTTTCAAAAGGCTGCTCAAGAAGACCCAGTAAAGTGCTACAATGAAATATGCAAAGACCTGGAGTTACAAAACCAAAAGAGAAGACTATCGGCATTTCTCAAGTTGAAAGAACTGAAGAAAAAATGCAAGCCTCAAGTTGCAATATTGAAGGATTCTTTGGGCAAAATACTGAACACAGGAGGCATCAAATGAAGATGGAAGGAACACATAGTCATTATACCAAAAAGAATTGGTCATAATTCAACTATTTCAGGAGGTAGCATATGATCAAGAACTGATGAACTGATGGTATTGAAGGAAGAAGCCCAAGTTGCGCTGAAGGCATTAGTGAAACATGAAGGTCCAAGAATTGATGGAATACCAATTGAGATGTTTCAATAACATAACACTAGAAATATGCATTCACCTATGCCAAGAAATTTGGAAGACAGTTACCTGATCAACCGACTGGAAGAGATCCATACCTGTACCTATTTCAAAAAAGGCCATCCAAAAGAATGTGGAACGTATCAAACAACATCATTAATATCACACGCAAGTAAAATTTTGATGCCTTATTAAAACGTGGTTGCAGCAGTACATCAACAGGGAACTGCCAGAAATTCAAGTCAGATTCAAAAGAGGACCTGGAAAAAGGGATATCACTGCTGATTCCACATGTATCTTGACTGAAAGCAGAGACTACCAGAAACATGTGTACCTGTGTCTTAATGACAATGCAAAAGTATTCAACTGTATGGATCATGGAGTCCTGGTGTGGTGCTCTAAGATAACCAATTGACTGTTAAACACAAGGTCAGTGGTTCAAATCCACCAACTGCTCCTTGGAAACCCTATACAGGGTCACTATGAAATGGAACTAACTTGATGGCACTTAACAACAACAATGTGGATCATAATAAACCACGGACAATATTGTGAAGACTGTGAATCCTAGAACACTTCATCGTCATCATGCAGAATGTGTACACAGACAAGAGGCAGTCTTATGAAAAGAACAAGGGGAGACTGTGGTTTAGAATCCAAAAAGGTATGTGTCTGGGTTGTATCCCTTTTTTCACACTTATTCAGTTTAAGCAGATAATCTGAGAAACTGGGTAATATGAATAAGAACTAGATTGGAGGGAGACTCATTAACATCCTCTGCATAGAGATGACACAACCTTGCTTGCTGAACACAAGACGTGAAGCCCTTACTGATGAAGATCTAAGACAATAGCCTTCAGTATGGATGGCACCTCAATATAAAGGAAAAGATTCCTCATGACTGGACCAATAAACAGCATCATGATAAATGGAGAAAATATTGACTTGTCAAAGATTTCATTTTATCTGGATCCACATTCAACGTCCATGAAAGCAGTAGTCAAAAACTTAAATGGCATATTGCATTGGGCAAAAACTACTGTGAAAAAGCAAAGATGTCACTTTGAGGACTATAGTGTGCCTGACCCAAATCATGGTATTTTCAATGGCCTCATATGCATTCAAAAGCTGGACAATGAATAAGGAAGACCAGCGAAGAACTTATGTCTTTTAATTATAGTATTGGTGTAGAATATTGAATCTACAATGGATTGCTGTAAGAATGAAGAAATCTGCCTTAGAAGAAATACAGACAAAATGTTGATGAGTCTCACAGACTTTGGAGATGTGATCAGGAGGGACCAGTCCCTGGAGAAGGAATCATGCTTGATAAAGTCAAGGGTCAGAACAAAGGAGGAAGACCCTCAATGAGATGAACTACACAGTGGCTACTACAATAGGCTCAGACAGTAAGGACGATGAGAATGACAAAAAACTGGGCAGTATTTCTTTCTGCTGTATAGAGGGTGGCTATAAGTCTGAATCAACTTGACAACATCTAACAACAACATGATGGCAGAGCATTAAATATGTTGAGCATCACCCCTGCTTGATATGAATTATTTTTCTCTATATATACACATTCACCCATATATACAGGGGATTGCCCAATTAAATAAAGCTTATGCATCTCAGGTATTTATTTTAAAGTCGGTTGTTTAGAACTTCAACAACATAATTTTCCAAATGATGTTGTAAAATTTAGGCTTAAAAGTCTACTTTAGTCTATGAGATACCTAATTACCATATGGTTATCACTTTTAGGGACCAAAGATACTCCAAGTTTCAAATCAGTATCCCATGAACATTTTTTCCCAATAGTGGCAAAGATACATCATTAGTGAGGATAAGAAAGATGTAGGGGTTCTTGTAGAGATGTGTTCCTCTTTACAAATATTCAAGAGAAAATAAGTGAACTTTTTCAAAATATATATATATATATATATATATACTGGAGCTCAGGTTCTACCCAGGACCAATGAAATTCAGAGCTCTGGGGTCTAAGGCCTTGACATTAACAATGCTCACAAGCTCCCAGGTGATTCCAATGGGCATCAGAGTTGAGAACCAGACACCAACTTCTCTTCTACACCTATCTACCCATGACATTTTTCTAAATTCAGGCTTTGGACTCAACAGATTGAAGACATGCACCTGAGAAACACACGCTTGGTTAAGACTATTTCAAAGCCAACTGAGTAAGAGGTAAGAGTAATTGGACTCAGACCAGAGAGATGATTTGGCGTTTCCTAGTTTTACCAAAAGCTAGAATGGAATGACCCCCAGGCTTTCCCCCTTGCTACGTGTGTTCATAAACTGGGTGAATAGAGCAAGGATACAATTGTGATTTTTTTTTCCCCTCCATGATTTCAAAAAGATCAACATTCAGCTTTAGAAAGGTAGGTGGCCCAGTGGACGGCTATAGACATTGGAGTAATACCCCTCTCCTAGCTGGGAAGCGATGAGGACAATGGTAGCTTCAAACAGGTGAAACCGATGTTTAATTCAAGAGATATCTCTTGGAAAGGGATACAAAGACATGGCCAAAGGTGCTGTACTCAGAGTAGGCAATCATGGTGAGCTGAGCTCGAAGTCAAGAGGAAATAGGAGATAGGCAATCCGAGATCAAATTATAACTGACTAAAAGGAGAAGGTGGGAGAATTGAAGGGGATAATCCTTTCCATATTCATGAACAGAAGCAACGAAAAAAACTGTGTGGTTTGGGTTTTGTTTTCTTCCTCTTAATTCTTCTTATTTATATCAAAGTCCTCTGTCCTTGTAATGCAGAACTCCTTGTTCTCCTTGTAACTATAGTATCCCAAAGTATGGCTCCTGGATATTACTACTGACTTGTTTTCCCTGTGGACCACTTTTCTCCTTGACCCAGAAGACCTGCAGCCTCCAGCCAGAGAAGCAATGGGTGTAGTCAGCCACAGGAAAGAAGTTCTATGTTAAATCAACCTGCTAGGAATTTACAAGAGAGCAAGTCTCCTTTATGAATCTCACTAATGGCATGCCTTGAACTCACACTGTGGAAATATGGACTTCTACCCTTGGGAATTCACTCAACAAACTGATCCCCTTTCTCTTCTCAGTTAAGTCAAAGAAACTACTAACTGGCTCTTATTTTCTTCCATGAATAGTAAATTCCTTCCTTTCACAAGCAAACAAAGGCAAGCAAAACAGCACAGTAACTACAAAGGCAATTCTTGGGACTGTTTGGGGGAAGGAAAAAGCAGGAAAAAAAGGCACCAGATTCCTGTATGGTTTGGATGTGATATTTCTCCCCAAGACACAACACACATCCTCCTTATGAAATACATATGTTCACAGAAGCCACTTGGCAGACCTTGAGATTTATCAAATACATATTCACACAGTTAGACAGACAGACAGGTATAAAATCACATTGCAAGTCACAATTCCTAAGTACAATGCCATGAATGCCAAGAGAACCAAACGTGTGAGCTGGGATACAAGTGAGCTTCATGTTTTCCAAAGGACTACAATTGGGATGTATGACTACTTCCCGTAAAATGTGCTGACCCAGGGCTGAGTTTAAGATTGGAGAGATGGCAGTAGCCACAATAGCTGGATCAGACATTTGACAAACCGAGCTCCTTGGTGGCACTTTTCTACTACTCTTAAAGATGCATATTAAATAATGTCTTCTGGACCACAGATACGATTGCACTTAAAAATTCAAAAGTCTATAAATATTGTCAACCCAGCTTTGCCTTTTGTATCTCCTGGCTTTCATAAAATGGAAACTTTTCAACCAAGCGCTGAAATATAAATATTAAAATAGTAAGTGGAACAAACTACAAATCTACTTACAATTCCATCACTACTGTAGCACCTTGTCCTTTTTTTGATTTTGTTTTTTAACCAGGGCCAATGCATTCATTTTGTCAAGAACAAGAGAATTCTGAGAAGCTTTCGGAGTCATAAGACACATCATTAAATATTTAATCACCTTTTGAAAGTCCTAAGCCTTTATCACATTTCATCCATCTAGACAGTTCATTCTATGCTATAGTCTCCAAGACTCCCTTGTTGGGAGGAGGAAGAGTAGGGGAGAAAACACCTTCTGAGGGGCAGGGTTAAATGCTCTCAATCAAGAGTTTCCATTGGCGCTTTTGTGAACTCAATTTACCCCATATGCCCACCAGTCCACAGGAAGGTCAATTGATGGGAGTCCACTGTTTTTTAATCTCCAAGAATTAGTTTTACAAAAGATGCCACATCTGTTGATTTGGATTCGTGGAGAGCGAAAAACGGATGTTGCTGGGAAAGAAAACACAAAAAAACATGGCATTAATATTTGTTCCTGACAATATATGAGGTTAGTAAATAAACAGATCGCTTTTCAAAAGCTGGGACATGAATAAAAGAGACCAAGAAAGAATTGTTACACTTGAATTATGGTTAGTGAAGAATATTGACATATCACGGGTTGCCAAAAGAACAAACAAATCTGTCTGGGAAGAAGTGCAGCCAGAATGTTCCTTGGAAGTGAGAATGGTGAGACTTCATCTCACAGACTTTGAATATGTGATGATAAGGAACCAGTCCCTAGAAAAGGACACCATGCTTGGTAAAATAGAAGGTCAGAAAACAAGAGGAAGACCCACAGTACAGTAGATTGGTACAGTGGCTGCAATCATGGGCTCAAATACAACAGTCATTACGAGGAGGTTGTAGAACCAGGAAGTGATTTCACTCTGTTGTGCACTGGGTCGCTATGAGTCTCAGGAACCCAGAACAACTATGTTTCCACTGCAGAGAATCAACTGCATTAGGGGGGAAACTAGGGTATGTAAAAATTATGCTATGTAAGTCTCATCTATGGTAAAATACAAGGATTAGCAAAGGGTTGATTTATAAATAACCCTGCTCCTCACAAAATACTTTTAGATGAGTATAGTAGAAAAACAATGGGCAATGTCTTCGATTTATGCACTTTCTCAGGAAACAGTGATAAGAACATGAAACCAATCTTGGCACTGGAGCGCTGGCATGGATTGAAACCGTTAATAATGACATCTACTCAGCTCTATCTGGAGTCCTGGTGTGGCGCTGTGGGTTAATGCACCAGACTGCAAAGCCGTTTGAACTGCAAAGTCAGCGGTTCAAGCTCACCAGCTGCTCCTCGGACGCCCTATATAGGATTGCTATGGGTCAGAAGCAACTCAATGGCACTTCACAATAACAAATCTGTAGCCTCAATCTCTCTTAATGAAGAGCTGATCCATCTGGAAAATAATGTAGACTGCCAAATTCTAGCTACAGGTGGAGAAAATTCAACTTCACTAAACTTAAAAACTTCCAGTCCAAAATATTGTCTGATCCCACTTATGTGAAAAAATCTAGAATAGATAAATGGATAGAGAGACAAATCAATTAGCTGCAATCAGGGGCTAGGGAGGGTTTGGGAAAGGAATGAGTTGTTATTGTTCAAAGGGTATTGAGTTCCTGTTTGGGATGATGGAAAATTTGACAACTAGATAGAACTGATGTGGCACGGTAGGATTGGCACTGGACTGGGAACCACAATGTCGGCAGTTCAAACCCACCAGCCGCTCCTCAGAAACCCTATACAGGATCGCTAGGAGGTGGAACCAGCTCAACAGCACTTAACAAGATAGTACTGATGGTTGCAAAAAGGCTGGGTGTAGATGACTTAATAAATGGTTACCATGGCAAATATGTTGTTGATACAGTCTACCAAAACACAGTTTTTTAAGTCCCTTTTTGTTAATTCCTAAAAAGTAAATATTCAGTACTTTGGTGGAAGACCACACAAGGTGCAATAACATACAGTAAGAACACTTTCAAAGCAATTCTGAGAGAAACAAAGTCATTTTCTCTTTATCTGAATAATCCTGCAAATTACTCAATCCTGCTACAATGGAATCTCATACCTCTAATTAGAAAGACATTGATTCAGTTTAGGCTCATAAAAACTGCCCATTGTTTCCAATGCTGCAAATTATTATTAATTTTTAAATTGTTTTATTGTGAATTAAGTGAAGGTTTCGAGAACAGATCATCAGTTTGACAGTCAACATATCATACATGTGCTTCATTACAATGATTGCAATCCCCTCCCTGTACCAACAGTTAACAGCATTTACTTCTATTCACTTTAACTCTTGCATTCCATCCTGTCTCCCGCTCCCTTCCTCTTTCCTCTGCTAGCCTCCCTCTTGTTATGTACTGCCTGTCCTGTTACTCATGTCTAAACTCTAGCCCATGAATAATTTTCCCTCTCCCCTCCCCCTGTAACCATAATTGATGTTTTCCTTTATTAAAACCTTCTCTTAACTTTTTACATTGGTCTCATACAATATCTGTCCTTTCACTCAGCATAATGTCCTCCAAGTCCATCCATGTTGTGAGGTGTTTCAGAGATCCATCGTTACTCTTCAGCACTGCATAGTATTCCATTGTGTGTATATACCAAAGGCATTTAGGCTATCTCTGGTAGTGTAGTGGTTATGAATCGGGCTGCGAACCTTAAGGTCAGCAGTTCAAAACTACCAGCTGTTCTGTGGGAGAAAGATGAGGCTTTGTGCTCCCGTAAAGATTTACAGCCTCGGAAACCCTTTACAGGGTCACTATGAGTCGGAACAGACTCCATGGCACATACCCACCACCACCATGTTTCCAATGTGACTCTTATAGACAGCATATTGAAGGATTCTGTTTTCTTATCCGTTCTGCTTTGTCTCTGGACTGGCACATTTAACCCATTTACATCAGTGTAATTACTGATAGATTATGAAATTGATTGCTGTCATTTTGCTGTGTGCTTTTGTTGTGGTGTGCTGCTGGTTTCTTTGTTCCACATAATTCTCTCTGCTGAGTTCCTTTTTTGTTTGTGTGCTTTCTTTTCATTTTGTTCATTTCCATTGTGTTAATGTTATTAGGACTCCTGATGTGGCGCTGTGGGTTAATTCGCTGGGTTGCAAACTCAGTTTGAACCACAGTCGGTGGTTCAACTTACACTCTGCTCCTTGAAAACCCTATACAGGGTCGCTATGGGTCACCACTGACTTGACGGCACTTAACAATATTTATTAACTATTTCTGGTTTTCCTTTTTTATTTTGATGTGCAGATGTATTAATTTTCTTTGAGTTTACCTATAACTTATTAATTTTTCCCGTTTTAAGCAGTCTCCTTTATCTTGAAATCTACTTCCTTGCCAGTATCTACACTATTCCCTCTTTTAGCTTTGTAGCTGACTTCATTATAAATTGATAACTCTGGTTCACTATTTTCAGGTTTGTTTTACTTGAAATACTTCTATATCTGGATTGAGTTCTGGGTGATGTTGTCACATATGGTAATGTCAGGGTGTTGTCTGCTATTGTTGGTTCTTGGTGCAAGAACACCCATTAGTATATTTTGTAAAGTTGATCTGGCCATTACAAATTCCTTTCATTTCTGTTTATCAGGAAATGTCCTACTTCTGCCATTGTATTTGAGGAGGGACAGTTTTGTTGGTATAAGATTCTTGGTCGACAATTTTTTCTTTCAGAGTTTTGTATATGTCATTCCACTGCCTTCTTGCCTGCATGGTTTCTGGTGAGAGATCAGAGCTTAGTCTTATTGGTTCTCCTTTGTAAGTAACTTCTAGTGTTTCATAAGTTTCTTTCAGAATTCTTTACTTGTCTTTGGAGAATTTGATTATGATATGTCTTGGTGATTTTCTTTTGGGATCTATGCTTTTTGGTGTTTACTCAGTTTCTTGTATGCTTATCTTTAATTATATTAGGGAAGTTTTCTTCCAAAAACTCTTTGACAATTTTCTATGTGCTTTGTATTGTCTTTTCCTGTTCTGGAACTCCAATCACCTGTAAGTTGTTCCTCTTCATAGTGTCCCACATAACAGACTGTCTTCAGATTTTTTTCTTTCTTTTTCTGATTGTTCTTCTAGCATTGTTGAGTGCCACTGAGTCAGTTCCAACTCATAGCGACCCTGTCTAGGGTTTCCAAGGGCAGTTGGTGGGATCAAACCACCTACCTTGCAGTTCAAACCAATCTTGTGTTCCAGTTCATTACCCTGCAGCACCACAAGCTCACTGATTCAGGCTTTCATTGCACTAAATTTACTCCTTTGCCTTTTCAATGTTTTTCCATTTCTGAAATCTTAGTATTCATTTTCTGGATTTCTAATTGCAGGGTTTGTATTATTTCGAAATTTGCATTTATTTTGCCTGTTTGTTCTTATAGTCTTTTCCTGAATTCTGAAGTTTTTTTTTTTTTTTTTCTTTGTTTTCTTTGTTTTTTCCTTCATTCTTTTTCGGTTTCTTAATTCCCTTTTTTTAAAATTACTTTTCAGTTAGTTCCACTACCTTTTCTTCCTCAAAAACGTGTTCTGGTACTTATTTTCTTCATTTGTTTGAGTTAAAATTGTCTTTTGTCTCCAGGACATCATGGGGCTGTCGTATTTTTGTTAAACTGATGAGCGTATGTTGATGTGTTTTCAGGGACTCACCAACCGTCTCCTGTGGGTATAAAGAATGGAAGTATGTATACCATTCTCATTTGTCCTTTGTGCACCTCAGTTTAGGGTGGGTTTTCCTGGTGTTGCTTGCTGTCTATCATACAAGCTGGTATTAGCTCTTGCCAAGTGGGTGGTACTGCAGAGGTTATGGCTGTGGCTGGGCTGTACAGGCCATCTCCTGTCTGGTGGGAAAGAGAGAACCTCCCCACCCCCCATTCCCATTCACTCCCTCCACCACACACATACAAGAAAACAAATAAGGAACCAACAATGAAAAGGGGGGGAGGGGGGTAGAAGCAGCAATGAAAAAAAAAGAGTAACTACTTAGACAAAAGAGGGACAGAAAAATGGAGCTACAGAAGAGAAAAATAAAAGGAGGAAAATTTAAAATCACTTAAGGATAAAAAGAGAGAACAGGGATAGGGAAATGGGGCTATAGAAGTGAAAAATAAAGAGAGGAAATGAAAGAAATTTTTAAAACACTCAGAAAAACCAGGGAGAGGGAAAAAGTGGAGAGAGTATAGAGTAATAAAGATCAAAAGGGGGGAGGAGACTAGGGGACATGAGAAACAGAAGCTATAAAAGATAAAATTCAAGGGAATGGAAAGAGGAGGAGGAGGAGAAAGAATAAACAAACAAAAACAATGAAACAACAAAAGGAAAAATCCAAACCCCAAAACAAAAAAACAATGCAGCTGCTGGACCTGGAGAGGAGAAAACTCTGGGGGCTCCAGCAAGCCAAGGTGCTCCTGGGCTGGAATTCCTATCAGCCT